CATTTTTTAAAAAGTTTTATTTGTGTGTGTGTGTGTGTGTGTGTGTGTGGCCAGCTCAGGGGGCAGGGCTGGCTGGCATGTGGTGCTGGGGGATTGAACCACGGTCCCTGTGCTTTGCTAAGCTTGTTCTAAGTAGGTGCTTTAGACCACTGAGCCATCTCACCAGCCCCCCTAACTCATTTCTTGCAAGACTTCTTCTGTTAGCCTGTACATTTTCCTTTGTACCACCTTGTCTCATATTTCAAATGAGATAAAACTTGCTTCCCCTGTGTGCTGTGCCAGCCTCCCCAGCTTTCAGCCTCCCCAGTGCTGGGATTACAGGCATACACAACTACACCTGACTCTGGCCAGCTCAGCCCACCCTGGGGGGGTGGGCAGGGCTGGAACAGCATGTGGTGCTGGAGATCAAACCAGGATCACTGCGTTTTGCCTAAACTTGCCTAAGCAGGTGCTTTAGTCCGCTGAGTTTTCTCGATGGCCCTATTTTTTTTTTTTTAATGTTTGTTTTTTGAGACAGGGTCTCACCACATAGGCCAAGCCAGTCGTGTGTGTGTGTGTGTGTGTGTGTGTGTGTATGTGTGTGAGAGAGAGAGAGAGAGAGAGACAGAGACAGAGACAGAGACAGAGACAGAGACAGAGACAGAGAGAGAGCTCAAGTGAGTGAGACAAATTCACACTATCCTTGAACTCACAATGTAGCCCAGGCTGGCATCAAATTCCACTGTGGTCTTCCCGCCTTAGTCTACCATGTGCTGGTAATTTAGGTGTGTACTAGCAAGCCCAACAATACTTCCTTATTTCTCTTCCAGTCACAATCTTTCTGGGTATAATCCCAGAGTGGCCTTGAGTTTGTAATTCTCCTGATTTAGCCTCTAGAGTGCTGGGATTACAGGTGCACATCACCACACTTGGCTTCAACCTTTTTCTTTTTTAATTTTGGTACTGGGAATTGAACTTGGGACCTTGCACATTCAAGGCAGGCCTTGTGCCACTGAGCTTTTACCTGGTTCAACCCTTATTTATTTTGGCCAGCTCAGCCCACCTTGAGGGCAGCATGTGGTGCCAGGGATCGAACTGTCTCCCTGCACCTGCCTAAGCTTGCCTAAGCAGGATCTTTAGACTGCTGAGCTATCTTGCCGGCCTAACCCTTATTTATTTCTAAAACAAGTCACAAGCTAGGCATAGTGGCACATTCCTATAATCCCAGCACTCAGGAGGCTGAGGCAAGAGGGTTGCCATGGATTCAAGGCCAGTTTGGCTACATATACAAGTTGAAGGCCAGCCTGCACTACATAGCAAGACCTTGTCTTTAAAAAAAAAAAAAAAAAAATCCAAATAAATACAATCCATAGCACACCCTGTAATCCAAGGCCTTGTCTCAAGGAAAAAAAAATGCACAAGTCATACACAGTCAAAATTTTTTTCTCTCGAAGAAATACTATATATACACTATTAAATTTTCTATTCCTCCATCCTTCATTTGTCCCTTTTAGTCTTAGGTAATGGTATCACATTTCAACCAATCTTACAACCTAGAAACTCTTTTTTTTTGGTAACTAATTTTCAAGACCAGAAGCTTGTAAAATTGTGGATGAAGTCAGGTGTGGTGGCTCATGCCTATAATCTCAGAACTCGGAAAGCTGTGAAGTAGGAGAATCTCTCCAAGTTCAAGCCCAAGAACCTCTTGGTGATTCTGCCTCAGCCTCTGATTACAGACATCACAAAACCCAGCTGAAAAAAAAAAAATCTTAAAATATGCACCACCACTCCCAAAAAGTCCACCATAATTTCTATTCAAGATTCCAGTGTGATGCTATTGGGAAGTGGTGGAAGTTTTAGCTGTAGCCTAGTTGTGATTAGTTAGGTCATGTGGTGAATGTCTTCGAAAGAGCTAATGGGACTCCTGTGCCTCCTCTGTTTTGTTTGCAGGCCAATATGAACAGCTTCATCCCACCACTCACTCCTTGCTATGTCTGGCCTTATCTGAGGCCCAGATCAATGGGGCCAAGTAACCATGGACTAAAATGTCAGACTGTGAGCCAAAATGTTTCTTCCTTAAAACTGATATTTTGCAGATATTTTGCCACAATGCAGGAATGCTGTCTACCACACTATCCTAAGAACAGAATTCTTGCCATGATATGGGTGGGCAAGTTTCTTGAATGTGAGAATGGAGGTCATCTTTATCTTTGTATTCCCAGTGCTGGTAAATAGAATTTTTTCAAACTTGTTGATTATATTTGGTCATCTGAAGTTGAAAAAGACTACACACTGACCAGTTATACTACTATATCAAAGAGATTGGAATTTAAGAATTTAAGGAGTAATAATAGAAGTGGAAACTTCACTCAAAGCTCACTCAGAATGTTATTTTTCTGAAACAGGGTATAACTATGTAGTCACTACATAGTCTATGTCATTAAAATAAAACAATCCCGGGCTGGAGAGATGACTCAGTGGTCTAAAGCACCTACTTGAAACAAGCTTGGCAAAGCACAGGGACCGCGGTTCGATCCCCCAGCACCACATGCCAGCCAGCCCCGCCCCC